TTTAACTCTAGTCCCCGTTAAAACATTATTAACATTTTGCTTTCAAATTACTTCAAAACATCTTTCGAAATATAACTTACCAGTATGGATTCACTCTTTTAAAATAATTCTACTTTAATTAAACTTAGGAGATAATATAATCAATTAATCAATATTGTTTAGGAAATAAATATATATATATATATGTTATATATCTATGTATATGTATATATAAACCTTTAAAGATCATTGATAATTCATTAAAAAACTAGCTGTGCAATAAATGTAAACATTAAACCGGTGCGTTTGCTACGTACAAATATTTAAATATAGTTTCAATACTGATCATTTTTCAACAGATTTTTAAGCGCACAGTATTTTATAACAGACCCATAAAGATGACTGAAAATTCATTAAAAACTAGCTATGCAATAAATGCAAATGTTAAACCGCAGTGCATTTGTTACATAAAAGATTTATATATAGTTTCAGGGTTGTTAGTCGCTCAATATCTGTTAAAAATATTTTTATTTATTGGAGAAAAACTTTAAAGTCCCACACTAAAAGAGCTATCAGTATGCGGTATATATTAAAACAGGAGATACCACTGGTTTAGTTCTCGCACATAAGTTATGAAAGTTTTCTCAATAACAGAATACATTTAAATACTGCAGTGCATTCGTTAGATAAGAGGTTTATGCAACATTAGTTACAGGGCCATTTAGTTGCTCACTGTCTGTTGAAGACTGTTGTTACTCTGTTGGAAGAAAAGTAGTAATACCGTACACAGCTTCCATCATTAAAGGAGCTACTATTATTCTATGTCAGAAAAATAGGCGACACCTTTCATTTACTTGTCACACCGAAGTTATAATAATTTTTTATCAGTAACACTGTAGCGTCTATTAGGCCTTTTGGGGAGCTGTAAACGTAAGAAATAAGAGAGATTCTTGTCAGAATTTTTACTCCAGGTCTCGCTATTACCAATGGATATACTATTAATTATATTAAGAAACCACGAAATGAGGAAGCCAAAGCATTCCTTATATTCTTCCTCAATTAAAGGGAGATTAGGAAGGAAGCTGAAGCCCTGTCGCTTTTAAATCCATGTGATGACGAATTATCGTCCACTACATTTTCGTCGGGTGTCACTAAAGATACTATTACAGTTTTTTTAGAGCAAGAGGCGTCAGAAATCTGCGATGCTCTTTGATTTGAAATTCAAATCTTGTGATTATCGTCGGTCGGTTTTGGCGACAAATTGTCAGCTTGGCGATATGTCGCAAATTTGCGAGATACCCATTTACTCAATGTTAAATGTACTTGCCCCTGTATTCTTATTTTACCAGCCTAGCTTTCTCTTAAAATTTGTCTCTTACTACATTACACAGAAAAATACAACAATTTTACTTATAATTCTACTAAAATTACTGTCTAAGTACAAAATTCGTAATAACGTTGTTGAAAGCGTAACAGATTTGAAGTCTTCTATGATTTATTAGTCCAAAGGGGATTGGTCCTGAGGGATTATTGTTTTGGTTTTGCGATTTTGCGTCAAATCACTCTGAATGTCCGTTTCACTTTTCAAACTGTTGCCACCAAATATGATCACTCTGTATTATATATGCAGAAATTAAATGATGAAGAATCTGCATAAATGTATGCATGTTTCTCGCACTGTGATAAAACAACGGTATCTAGAGCCATCGAATTTTGAATGACGTAATCCTACTGCGAATATGGGCATCTGAAAGCCCAAATTTGGAATTTGTTTTATTATCGATTTCATATTTTGTAAAACTTTAACGAATTTTTGATTAACAAACTCAATGATTTCAAAGCGAGCAATGGCAACGTTGTACAGAAAAAACATTTTTATCTCCAGCTCGCGAGACTGTGTATCGGAAATTCTAAAGATATGCTCAATTTAAAATTATTTTGCGATATTGCTCTTGAACTGAATTTTATGGTTTAAGTGCGAAGAACATGATATTTAATAAATAAAGGTAACACACAAAATGTTAAAAAAAACGCCCCTTTGGAACGTAATTTAAAATCTGAAACTTTTCAGATTTTTTTTTTTTTTTTTTTTTTTTTTTTTGATACTGCATGTTCAAGCGATTAATTAAGTGGATGTTGGACAAACTAAATTCTTTTCTTTTAAGTTTTAAGCGTTTGTCATATAAATTTAATCTTACGATGATTCTGTTTTGTACTATTGTTTGCAAATTTTCAGTTTTCTTTCGTGAATTAATACAGGTTGTTTATAAATGAATGAGCTTGAAGGCAGTTATGAATGAAAGAAAGTTGTGTTTTCCGGAACGGCAACAGCAGGAAGAAAAGAACGTTTATGATTTAAAATAGAGACAGAGCAGGTGTTCCCAGCGAATGGAAGCAGAAGTGAGCCCTGCTCACCCTAATTGTAATTAATCTCTTATCGTTTAAATTCCTTTGTATATATTTGATAAAATATGTTGTTTGTTTCGTAAGAAAGTTTAGATTAATGACTTTAGTCATTTGAAGTATCTACGATCATCTCGATGGGTCATCATAAAGGAGAAATAAAAAAAAATTCTGTTAGCGTTGATCAACAAAGAAGAAAGTTCTACTCTTTTGAAATAGGAATGTCCAACCATCGGGTCCGCCCTGTAAAATTTTGTTGACCGCCGCGCAGTTCACGAAATTTGTGACATGCGGCACAAAACCGTGTGAGTGTTTTTTGAGTAACTTACATTTGCGAATTCTTTTTAGTCTTTCGAAAACGAAATTCTCGAAACATAAACCACGGACGTCCTTAACTGAGGAAATCCTACAATATCAATTACGATTTACAAGTACAAGTATCAAAATCGACTTGAAAAAATGAAAGAAAAAAGAAAAAATAAATATCACGCTGATTATAGTAAATGTAGTACTACTCGATTGTTTTATTGTTATAATTATTGAAGTATGATTATAAATGTTTGACTATTCTCTTGTTAATTCATGAATAATAATAAAAACTATAATAATAATGCATTTTATTTTACATTTTCCCTCTCTCTATACACATATATAATGATTTGGATATTTCTGTTGCAAAATTTTCTGTAATATTATATATACAGGGTGGTTCAAAATTATATGTCAAAAATGTAAAGGCAGGTGGAGGGACCTGAATAAGCAGATTACTTATAGGACTATTTGTGCGGTAATGCCGCATAAGCACTAGCACGTAAAGCAGTATGAAGCACAGGAAACTGAAAAGACAAGCAAAGACAAAAGAAAAAAAAATACTAACAGTTTACAATAAGTGTTTGAAAGAGCGGACACCACCAGAGATACAAGATTCACAGTAGCGGCGCACTGATTGGCGTACATTAGAAAAGATGTCAGGCATATCGAGCACATGTCCAGCAGCAACAGATTGTCTGCAGATGTGACGGGACTTCCGGGTACACGAGACCTTTAATATGACCCCAAAATAAGAAATCCAAGCAAGTTAAATCAGAAGAAAGTGGTGGCCAGGGAACTAGTCCTCCTCGTCCTATCCAATGCTGTCCTATCCACAGCGTCCAGGTGATTCCTGACGTTCCGGCTCAGTGAGCTGGGGCTCCATCGTGCTGGAACTACATTCGTCTGCGAACAGCTGGAGGAACACTGCCCAAAATTTCAGGTAATGTAGAATCGCTCCTCATATTATACGTCGTACTCATCAGCGTTCTCTACCGATTCAACGCGGCATTACCGCACACACATTCCTATACGAAATCTGCTTATTTAGGTCCCCTCTAATTGCGTTTACATTTCTGCCATATAATTTTGAACCACCCTGTATATATAGGTATATATAATGCGGCCCACGGAACAAAAGGCATTGCCAGAGCGGCCCACAAAATTTTTTGTTTTGCACAGGCCTGTTGTAAAATATATATGAAATTAAAATACTTGCATAAAGGAAATCCGAAGCAAAAATTTGTTGTTTAACATAACGCCTGTTGAGATAAAAATAATTTGTAGTGAGCAAAACTGAGTCTGGAAAAATCTGCGGATACAATTAAAATTCCCATAATTTTTACGTGAAGAGAAACCATGGATTTTAACGGCCGTAGTAATTTGAAGTTAGCGTTCCTAAATAATTTTTTTTCAGCGCAAAATATTTATTTTTCTTTTAGAAATTTGCATGTGGAAACTTAACATGCTTATCTATCGTTAGAAATATCTGCACTCGATGGTTTCTCAGTATTAATAAGTGATACTAAATTAATTTTGATGGTATAAGGATAAATCTTTTAATTTTTTGATTAATTTGGTTATTGAAAACATTTTTAGCACATTTAGTTCTATGGAGAGCCTAAAAATTTAAGTTCCGTATGAAATAACTAAACTTGATGACGTGATAAAAACTGTTATAGTCTGAAAGCCTTTCTCATTTCTCCTATTTCGTGTACTAAAAATTGTTTAATCTCGCAAACTTCTTGAAATACTCTATTTACAAATCAGTAGTATATATGGCTTTCATACCTTGTCTTTAAAAAACATGAAATCTTATGTATTTTCCATTTATCTTGATTTCTGACATTTCTGCTAATATGACATTAGAAATAATCTAATATTCTATAGGCTAGATCTTAACTTAAACTGTGAGGCGACTATTCGGTAAGTTGAACTTGTATCAGGAACAATACATAAGAAAGAGTTTCTATCTATGCTTTAAAATCCCACCCCGTTCAATGATGAACACTGCGGGGAGAGCATAACTATGCATGAAAATATTTACAATGTTTTTACAGATTTTTATTCAGCAAGTTTTCCTAGTTTATTTATTAAAATTTGTAAGCATATTGGATTAAATGCTATTTAAATTCGAAGTCTTGTTTCTCTGCTAAAAAGTGAAATGGATTCTGTTTTAAGTAACCATAAAATACTTGATTGAATATTTTTTTTTCTTCTTTTCTTTCTTTTTTCCTCTAATCTTTACAGCACAAAATCGATATCATTACATAAATATCATTATCTAAGTTACGCTGTTGATTTTCCAGGGATATAACCCGTTTGAAAATTGAAGGCAGGTTCAAGACAAAAATTTTGGATGACAGGTAAACTTTTCGTTATTTATTTTTGTTTATGAATTGAAAAGTTAACACAATTTCTAAACTTTCTAAGAAGTTAGATTTTATTATTTTAAACTGTAAATATTATACTAATACTACACCAAGACAGATTGAAGAAAGGCTGTTGTAAGCGAAATGTCATAATAGTATTTCTAAGTGGCGTTTATTTTTGTACAGTGTTTATCCCTTATAAAAAGCGTGTTAACGAATATGCTAGTAAATTTTGATTACAATGAAAATATACATATGAATATTTTTAGTTTTTTCTTTGCTTGGTAATAACTCGTTTTATGAGCAGATAAAAATGAAAACGAAATTTCATTATTACCCTCTTTATATTTGGCTTTAATCTGAAGAAAATGCTTTAAATAATTAGACTTTTACATAAATATATTTTAAACGAAAATTAGAGAAAGATATAAAAATGAAAATTTTCAAACATTAGTTTTAAATTTTTATACTGTATTCAACAGATACAAATAGTAACTGAAATCTCGTTAATGTTAAATTTGTTTGGTTTCTAGTATGGGAATTAAATTGTATTAATTCTATGGTTTTATAATTATGGAAAGATAATTGCTTTGAAAATAAATTACTTTTGTTCGATAATATAACTACATTCAATAAGAAAATTAATGATAATACAATAAACTCTTGCCAAACGTGGAGGTAATGTCATTGCTATGGAAAACAATGTGTTAGGTAATGCAGATGTAGAAAGTATTTTTAAATAAATCTAAATATGGTTGGAATTAGAAGGGAAAAAATCTGATGTGAACACCACATGACTTCCTTATGCGACCTATTAAATTATACATTTTTTTTACTGCATTTTATTTGAACTTATTTTCTCGACATTCATTAAGAGATATATTTCTCATTCAATTAGTTCAGTCCTCACGTAGCGGCAACGCAAAAATACATAAAACATCTTCATTAAAATTTCAAAAATACGGAGAAAAGGGAACACCAAATACAGTTAAAACAGTTAAGAAAAATTTATAATTAAAATTAGAGTTTCTACTCAAAAACAAGCACTTCGGCTAGAAGACAAGAAAGCAGATTTTCTGGTGCACAAAATTGGAAGCTTACATTTGTCCCACTCAGCAAAAAGACACTGAAGGGGCAGAAACTGACTTGATTCACTGTCCACTAAGTTTCAAATGTAAACAAATCACTGCTCCGTTTCGCTTAGCCACACTTATACAACTTTCAGATTGTTAGTAATTATATAACTAACGCATGCAGATTAATTAAAGGCATAAAAACCTTAACCGAAACATAAAAACAATATATATATAATTTATACTTATTTGCATAGGAACGAAGTGTCACTTTGCACGTAGGATATAGCTTGAAGAATTACTTTTTAATTTTATTTTCAAATTTTGCAGCTTAATGCGCAAAATTCTTGACCTCACAGGTCCTTTTTGTTTAGTTCATAAGCTTTTCTTACATTATATATATATATATATATATTTTCACAAGAATATAGTAAAGTTAAATTAATTTTAAATAATTATCTTGCGCCATTGCTGCAAGGAATGAAATTTGAATTTAACAAATATTCTCTATTCGTATAAAGCTAATATAAATTTAAAATTTAATTAAGAAATTTTAATTGCAAAAATAAAAAATAAAAATAAAATTAATTATTGCTGCGAACTAATTTACAATATCATTTAAATTCTAAGAGCATATGTAAATTTAGTGCACGTATCTAAAACCATGAAAAAATATATAATATTCCAAAAATGAATCTCAAAAAAATTTTTAAGGAATTTCTAAGACCAAATTAAATTGCATAAGTGAATATTTGTTGAGCAGGCAGAATACAGACTTATCAAGGGGAAGTTGCCTCCAAACCTAACTCTTCAATTACTCAATTCGTGTTTCGTCATCCATATAGGCAAGGGCAAAAGTAAAATTCAAAACCAAATGTTGTCAATTATTCAAGTAAAACCAAATGTTGTCAATTACCAAAAACGAAATTTAAACTAGTAGGAATTTTGAGATATTTAGCAAGTAAAATATTAATTAAATGTCAATTAAGAGTAGAAAACCAAAGTAATTTAGAAACTCTTGCTTATTGAAAACTTCCCCTACATGAATTTTGCATGTAAACCTAAAATAAACTATATACAACCATCAAAATATAATAATAATAATAATAACAATAATTATAATTATAATACTAGTAAATAGCAAGTTTTAATTTAACTTGTCTAGAACTACATATTTGAATTCCTGAGTGTGGACAAATATTTGCTAAACTAGGTGAAGTTGAGTAGTTTGTTTCTACTAGCTGTAAAAATAGAAAGCGCTAATACAATGTAAAGTTGAGTGTTAATCTGCTACCTGTGAGACCTATTGTAAAAACCTATGCTGTAAACTTTAATGTAAAATGCAAAATGCTTGTTTTGTGTGCAAAAATGTTGTTAACTTTGAGGCATTGTTAAAATGTGTAAAAAAAGTAAAAATTGTGAACTGCTACTGTTGTGAAAATAGATGCTACAAACTACTAAAGATGTAAAAGTTTGAAAAATATTTTTGAAAAAATTCTAACAATCATTTTAACAATTTTATTCCTATTCTAACAATCATTTAAAAGTCTAACAATCATTTTAAATGAATTAATTTAATTTAATTTGAAGTAGAAAATTTTAAATTTTAAATTAAAAAAACACAAATTGAAATAATATACGTAGAATTATTGTAAGAAATTTTTTGTACTAGACTGCATTATATAAAACTGAAGTTCTACAAGTTTAATCAAAATTTTAATAAATACTGGCCAAAGGTAAGGAAAATTAAAAAAATTAGATAAAAAACTTCATTCAATTCGGGCTACAATTGAGACTTTTGAAAAGAATTGGCTCTTCATTAGTAAAAGGAAAGAATCCAGTATTGATAAAATATAAATTTTTACAAATAATTAATTAATATTTACAAGTAATCCTTTAACTGTTCAAAATCCTCCATTACCTCCAGTTAAGGTTTAAGGTAATATTATCATACCATAAAGAGTTAAAAAATTAAAAAGAAAAGTTAAGTTGCTTAGTCTTTGACACTGATGTGACTTTCAAGAGCAATTACTCTCCACTGTGTATTTCTAAGTTGCAGTTGAAAGTGAAGAACCTTAAGAACTAGTAAGCGAATAATCGCTTGAGTTCGTGTACAGGAAACAACAAGTAAGAAGGGTTAAATATCTCTTTATTATTCCAATTAAAGTTTAACAAAACTCCGTCTTGGAGTAGTACAATACAGCCGATACTTAGGCTTGAACTTAAGAATTAAATAAATTAATCTTAACTAAAGAGATATAAGCCGAAGCTATCAAAATTCTAACCGAATTGGCCCCTTAACGTTAATAGACTGCGAAGCTATCAAGTGCCTAAAGTACGGCCGAGCGTGATAAAAGCTTACGAGAGAGTAGCCTAAAAAGGCGGACGCGAGCAGCAAGAATACGCGGTATCTCTCTCACTAAGACCGAAGAACTTCGCGGTTAAATACCGCTCTTTGTCATTATTTATGTATTCAGACGTGATTCTAAAACTACGTTCTGGCCGGAAGTGGCAAGTTGAAGTTAAGAATCGATAGGAAAAGAAGTTTAACTCAAAATTTAACTGTTAGTAAAATTAACATAATCCTTGCAACTTCACATTACTGCGCCTCAAACCACCACGTTTGAGCTTCATTGCATTCGAGATATTTTGAATCATATCCTTTTCAAAATGTTCTCCAAACATAAGGTCTGCCAGAAGTGAGAAAGTGAAGGATGTCTTTTTGCTGAACAAATATACATTTGGAATTTTATATTTTGCGCCCCTGAAACAACTGGAATCTGCATTTAACGTAGGAACTGGATATCAGTGACTTGTCAAATCGGAAATATTACCTAATAATTACCTATTAAAGCTTTTCATGTGATTGACACACTTGAAGTGCAAGACATGACGTTCTTCTCGCTTTGTTTCTCTTTCTTGATCGTTCTCGAAGTTTCACCTGCTAGCTCGTCAAATCATGTGCTCTCAGAAGTTTAATTTTCTCCTCTTATTAAAGCCCACCCACCGTAAAAACAACTTTCTAATCCGTTTCTGTATCTGTTTTAAGAAGGGAGCTTCTCGCAGCCTTGATTATGCGGTTGCATATTATCACCATTTCTGCCAAAGTTTTATTCCGAGCTTAGAATCTTGCTAGCAGACGTTTAAAATACACACTTTTAAATTATCTTGAGTCAGCTTAAGAAGTCTATTTTGTGTGAAGTCTCAGACTAATCTTAACTAATCTTAACTAAATTTGAATTCATGTTCATCTTATGTTATTTTAAATACTCGCAAATAATGAAGGTTCATCTGTAGCACGAGTTGTGCCATCTGTTCATTTAAAAGATTAGATAAAACGGTTATTTAACCTTCTTATAACTTAAAGTGATAATCTGCTTTGCATTCTAGTTAGGTCTTCTGGACATTCAGATAAGACTTAAAAGTGTAACTTCTAGACTTAAAAGTGCTCAACAGACTGAAGCATTTTCCCTCCTCTAGTCTTAGTTTTATTTTACAGTATAAGATGTAAACAATAATGAAACTCTCATAGCATGTTTTTCAATGCTCATTCTGCTAGCTAATATTAAAGGAACGTTTCTTGATTTAGAAAAAAGTATCTTCTAGCTGAGATTCTAAGAAAAATTAGCTTCTGTTGCTGATGATGTTATAGATAGTTTTGTTTAACCTTATATTAAGTTATATGATTAGATCTTTAATTATTCACAAAGTAAGTGCTGCAGTTAAAGAGACTTAATACTTTTTATTTTTCTTGCATATAGTATATTCATTTAATTTCTTTATATGGTGTTTCTTTCGGTGGTTACAGAAAATAGCCGTTTTCCGGCATAATGACACTTGGTGTGACACAAGACTCTTTCACTGATCTTTCAGGCTCACCAAATGCCAAGCGGTAAATTTACTGAACGATAGTAGACCGAT